TATTTATACAATCATACGGTCCAAATCGGAACAAACCACGACCCGTGGCCCTCATGGTCTCGACCCGGATGGGTCAACGGGCATGTCGGGTTGTAGTCCAAATTTGTGGGTCGATCCGGAACCCGCAACGAGCGAGCTTTTTTTTACGCGGTCGTTACCGGTCTCATATGTTGGGGGTCCCACCCGACTCGGACCACCCGAATTGATACATCTAAGCCAATGTATTATGTATGTACATAAATGTTTCATTTTTAAAGTATGTATGTGTGTCCCTTTTGTGCGCTTATAGATTAAATTTTAAATTTCATCACATTCAATGTTTTTTTTTCTTTTCCTTTTTAATTTCCTACATGTATTATAGTAAAATATACAAGTTAAAAAGATATAAAACACTTTATAAATTAGTAAATATTCATTTTTCGATTAATTAATAATTTCTCTAAAATAATATTTTTTCTCGATTTCAATATTATTATTTTATAGATGTTTTACTGTACACGGTGAACCCCACCATCTGAACTAATTCTGCTTAAATGGGGGTTTGGCGGCAGTTGACATTTTACACGCACATTAGAAATATACTGCAATTATTAGATTAAAAAACTAAGTAATAGAGTATTACATTAAAAATAATTGAATGTTCCTCTCCATTACAATCAGGAACTAGCATATGCTCCATATATGATAATGGTGATGACTTGTGTTTGAAGCCTATAAAAAGCCAGTTCGTGAATGGTAAAGAGCATTAATTAGTTGAGAAAATGGCAGAAGAAGAAGGTCATCAGCCTGAAATCAATTCCGATGAAGACTCAGGCGGCCTCAAAGACCGAAAAGTCTCTTGGGCAAAACTCCGTCGTGTAGACTCTCTAAATTTGGAGGCTGGAAGACTTTCTTTTAAGCCATCTCATAGATCCCAGGTAGGTCTATATTATCTGCTAATTTCTAAATGAAGGTTGTCGGAATGGGTTCTTTATTTAGTATTGATGATATAATAAACATACATGCAACAGGTAAGCTGGAAGACGTTAGACTCAAATCGTAAAGTCTCGTTAGGAGTAATATATGGAGACATAGGGACTTCACCGTTGTACGTATTTTCGAGCACTTTCACTGATGGAATTCATCACAATGACGACATTCTTGGAGTGCTGTCTCTTATTATCTACACCTTAATTCTGGTGCCCATGGTCAAGTATGTCTTCATCGTCTTGTGGGCCAATGACAATGGTGATGGTGAGTGAGATCAACTTTTAATTATTATCTATCAAAACTTCAACCTTTGTATGCTGTTTTGACCTGTACTAGGAAGAAATAGCATTTTTGTAGTCATTCTTGGTGTGTGTATTGTGGAATGTTAGTTTAACAATCCATATAAAGCAGAATACGTTTCATGCAAGTATGAATATTGAGATAAAAATTCAAATAGCAGCGCGAAATTAGAAGACGAGATTTTTAGCAATTTCAAAAAGGGATGCGCATAATAAGATTTGATACGAGAAATAGTCATGGAAATGCCCTGGAAGGCATGGATACGCTTTTGGCCACTAAGCTTGTTGTGTTATACTAGCCGTTCTCAGAAAAGTTACCATCTTGATACTAACATTTAACAATAGAGCTCTCGAGGGGTATCTAAATATGAACATTTTTGAGTTTTCAGGCGGTACATTTGCTCTTTATTCCTTGATATGCCGATATGCAAAAGTGAGCCTGATACCAAATGATCAGCCGGAGGATAGGCAATTGTCAAATTATAGACTGGATACTCCTTCAAATCAGTTGAGACGGGCTCAGAAGATTAAAGAGAAGCTGGAGAATAGCAAAACTGCAAAAATCATGCTTTTCCTCGTTGCAATTCTGGGAACATCGATGGTGATTGGAGATGGTGTCCTTACTCCTTGCATATCAGGTCAGTCTATATTGCCTTCTTTCAAACTCTGGTTCTAGTAGCAACTTAGCCAAAAAATGAAAAATAAATAACTAAAAAAGATAAGGCCACTTCAAGTATATTTCTTGTTTTCAACATGTGCACCCCGTTGGATTACTCCAGTGAAAGATTTAAGGGGGGACTGGGCCGGGGTCCCATTAATTTTTTTTTAGTGTTATGATTTTCTTCTGGATTCGCAGTTCTTTCTGCTGTAGGTGGAATCAAGCCTCTAAACAAAGGTAACTACAACCATTTTTTTTCATTTTCTTATTTTTGTGTCGAGGTACCACAATAAACATGATCTGATCATCACCTCCGTCTTCTATGTCAAATTCATACGCTTTGCAGATGCTGTTGTGCTAATTTCCATTGCAATATTGATTATTCTCTTCTGTGTCCAACGATTTGGCACTGATAAAGTGGGGTACACGTTCGCTCCAGCTATCTGCTTATGGTTTATATTCATAAGTGGAATTGGTCTCTACAACTTATTTAAACATGATCCAAGTGTTTTGCGTGCCTTCTATCCAAAATACATAATTGATTACTTCAAAAGAAATGGTAAGAAAGGATGGGTATCACTTGGTGGAGTTGTTCTTTGCATCACAGGTTAGTGACCTATTATTTCATTTTGGCTTATATTAACCTCTCAAGTCTTACATGCTCACAGCCATAGTCTCATACTGTCTTGTGCTACGTGAGCAGGGGCTGAAGCCATGTTTGCTGATTTGGGTCACTTCAATGTGCGATCCATACAAGTAAGTTTCACATAACAATGGACATAAGTGTTCTTTTAATATCAAATGAAATCATCTGAAGGAAACCACATAGAGAGAATGAAAAATGAACACTAACAAAAGACAATCTTTCATACAATTTCATGACATGATAACGTGTCCAGAATAGTTACATTCAAGAAACTTAAGCGTGTAAAGATTAAATAATTTACATCTGACTTACTGAAACTACTACTAAAACAGGTGCAAGGATTTACTAGTCTGTTTTGTTTGAAGAATGATTTGCTTTGATTGAAAATTTTCAGTAAATTGAAAACAAAAGTGAAGATTACAACAGTCTGGGACGCAGAGGAAATTAAGAATTTAATTTTCTTATTTGTTTCTCAAAATCTTGTTGGCTAACAAAAAATTGCAGAATAGTTTCTAAATTTTTTTTTGTCACATTACAGATTAGCTTCTCTGGACTTGTGTTTCCTGCTTTAGTTACTGCATACTGTGGACAAGCTGCATACCTTTCCAAGTTCCCTGATCACGTAGCCGAAACATTTTATGACTCCATCCCAGGCAAGTTGTTAATTAGACCATAGCAGAATCATCCCAACCGGGTAACTTAATATTCTAGAAATAAATGAAAAATTCATTTGCTGGTATACAGGTCCACTTTATTGGCCAACATTTGTTGTGGCTAATGCAGCAGCCATAATTGCCAGTCAAGCAATGATTTCTGGAACCTTCGCAATAGTATCTCAGTCCCTGAGTCTAGGCAGTTTCCCAAGAGTAAAGGTTGTTCACACTTCTGCTAAACATGAGGGCCAGGTTTACATTCCTGAGATCAACTACGCCCTTATGGTTGCTTGTGTCATAGTTACTTATGGTTTCAAAACCACCGAAAAGTTAGGCCATGCTTATGGTAAGATCAAAATACTTCTTAATGGCCTAGTACTTATCAAGATAATTTTATTTGCAACAAGTAATCTCAGATAATAGGCAATGGCCACTAATAAGTGCCAAATAGTGTCTACTTTTCCACAATATGAATCACAGAAAACTACATCTTTTACGTTTTTCATTTTATGTGAAGTTTAACAACAATACAATTATATACAGTAAGATCTAAAAGTGTACGTCGAACCAAAAGAGTTGAAATCTTGCACTACTTACGCACATTGAATCTTATTTCTCAGTTTGGAATGCATTTTAGAGAAAACACAAAATATGTGCAACCTGAGTTGTTAAGGGTTATACATCGTTAAGCTAATTTCTAGGAGTCTTTTCTTTGATTGAAGTGGTAACTGAAATATAATTTGTGTTGCAGGTATAGCTGTTGTTGCTGTGATGGTGATAACTACATGTTTAGTCACCTTAATTATGCTGGTTATATGGAAGACTAAAATCTGGTGGATTGCATCGTTCTTCGTCATATTTATTTGTGTGGAGATCATATATTTCACATCTGTCCTCTACAAATTCACACAAGGTGGTTACCTTCCGTTGGCCTTATCTTTTGTACTTGTGGTAATGATGGCAGTATGGCATTATGTACACCAAAGGAGATATATGTTTGAGCTCAACAACAAGGTTTCGAGTGATTACATAAGAGACTTGGCAAAGAACAAGGATATAAACAGAATACCTGGAATCGGTCTTCTGTACTCTGAACTCGTACAAGGCATTCCACCAGTTTTTCCTCATTTCGTTTCCAACATTCCATCTATTCATTCAGTTATGGTTTTTGTCTCTGTAAAATCCATCCCCATTAGCAAAGTGATAGCTGAGGAACGATTTTTGTTCAGACAAGTTGAGCCAAGAGACTACAGAATGTTTCGTTGTGTGGTGAGATATGGTTACAATGACAAAATTGAGGAACCCAAGGAATTTGAACGCCAGCTTGTGGAAAACTTGAAGGAGTTTATCAGGCACGAAAATTTCATACTTGAAGGTAGATCAACTGAACAAGTGCAAGAGACAGTGAATGTTCCGCATTCTGGTTTATTAAAAAATGAAAATGATGACAAGGCAAGAAAATCCAGTTCATCCGCAGTTCATGTGGAAGAAGCACTGGAGCACCAAATTCCATCTCGCATTTCATCAAGCTCCATACGGTCTATTAACATATCCAAGTCGACGAATTCTTCTAGCCGGATCGCCCCTGTTCCCCTCCGGGGGGCTGAAGAAGAGATGCAGTTCGTGCAGAAAGCAACGGAACATGGCGTATATTATTTCATAGGAGAAACCGAAGTGGTGGCTAAACAGGATTCCTCGTTGATCAAGAAGTTCGTCGTCAACTATGCCTACAGTTTCCTTCGGAAAAACTTCAGGGAAGGGGAGAAAACATTAGCCATTCCTCGTACCCGGCTTCTTAGGGTCGGTATTACATATGAAATATGAGTGTTTACAAAAAGAAAGAGTGGGTTTTTAAGGATTTGATGGGAGAGATTTCCTTGTCAAGATGTATTCGTCAAATGCTTTGTTGTATTAGCTTAAATAACTTGGTTAACTTTTAAATTATTTTGTTTATTATTTATTTTACTGTCATAATTTATTTTTTAAATACGATATAAATTAAATATAAAATATAAAAAAATTCGGGGCATGTTCATAATAATATGTAAAGGAGTCATATGAAAGAGAGTCTGAAAGGCTATTTTAAGCATTACCATTAATTATTTATGGTAACAGTGAAAGAAAAAGCTATTAATGGATGTATTGTTGGTTGATTATATAGTGAAATAGTTGTTTGTAATTGATAAAGTGAGTGGTAAAGTTTAATTCACGTGAGCGTAATTAAACTTAATATGAAATAGAAAATAAAAAGAAAGGAAAGAGAGACGAACCAAAAATCCAAGACGAGTGAAAAATATTTTTTCTTTAAGACAAAATTACTCCATAACAGTGCTAACGGATTACGACACTTGTCACCCAAGACACAACATATATAACTTGTGATGAAAGTACTTCAAACTACAAGCAACGACGAACTCAAACAATTCTTCCTCTCTACAAACAATAATTTTTGGAATGAATTTTGGAAATGTTTTGCAAGAGATTTTGATGCACAACTCAATGCAAATGATATGAGATACATAAATAACGTCCAAAAACCACTCTTAGGTTTTATAAGTATTTAGAAAATTTCAGCCTTAAATAAATTTCATTGAGTCAGTCTTACCTCACATTTACATAGGTGACCTCTTGTTAAATGTATTATGTTCTACTCCTCTTGACGTAATAAAGATATAGGAATCTTCAAAAAAATATCGTTAACTAATCGATGATTTTAGCAACGAATTCAAAGAATGAAATGCATACAAATGACTCAAAATAAGAAAGGCCTAGGGAATGATTTCACCTAACTTTCAATTATGATTCAATTATGTCTAGCTATTCTAGTAAATTTTCTCATGTTTAAAAGTAAGAATCCTAATGTCTTTCTCTCATGTCTCTCGAGTGTCGGCTAGAAATTAATTTTAAAATTCAGTTCCAATATTTCTATTCTGAATTAAAATAAAATTTTTTTTATCAAATTCATAATTCTTTTATGGAGTAAGCTTCATGGATCATATGTTTTCTCTCGAAACCTATAAAATCTACGTTGTATCAGTCCTATGATCCCGCCTAAATTCCCCTCTCTCGAGTGGCGAAATTGACTAACATCTATTCATTCAATTAGT